TATTTTTCTCTTCCGTCTTTTATTTTTTCTTTTTCTTCTTTCTTTTTTTTTTTCTTCTTTTCCTTTTCTCTCTTTTTTTCCCCCGTTTTCTTTTCGTTGTCCATCGCTTTGGTCACGAATCGCAGCGCCATGCCGCGCCGCTTTCTTCTCTACGAGACTAGTACGTTATTTTAATATTCATTGGATCCCACGCACGTACGTATACATATGTATGTATGTACTACGTGAGTAATTACGTTTGGAAAGGAACGAAGGAGAACGAGAAGGAAAGGAAATTCTCATGAATCTTCCAACAATATTTTCATCCTTTTCGATCTTTCTTTTACTCATTCGATAATCCAAGAAACGAGTAACCCAAAGAAAAAAGAAAAAAAGAAAAAAGAACAGAGAGAAAAAAAAATGTTAAATTCGTGAACAATCGACTAACATACGTAAATATATATATACTACTTAGAAATTCGTCGTCGTTTTCGTCGTCGTCCTCGTCGTCGCTTAGAAACGCTTAGACGCTCGATCTTGGCCTTTGAGTTACATTCCGAGACACGGCTGGTTACAAGCTATGATTCATCTCTCTCGCCTACCTGCCGAACTTCTCTCTCTCTCTCCCTCTCTCTCCCTCTCCCTCTCTCTTTCTCTCTCTCTCTTCCTTGGCTTCTATTTGGCCGGACGTATCTGTTCAATGTTTGAGAAAGACAGAGATAGATAAATATAGATAGGTAGATAGCTAGCTATCTATCTAGATAGATAGAGGGAGAAAGAGAGAGAGAGAGAGATTTATACCAAGAGCCAAAAACGTTGAAAAAGAAAAAGTTATAATTTATTTATAATTCTCTCTCTTTTTTTTTTTTTGCTTTTCTTTTCTCTTTTTCTCTCTCTCTTTCTCTTTCCAGCTTTAAAATCACTTAAAAAAAAATGTCAAAATTTACTTGATATAATTAATGGGCATAATTTTTTTTTTATTGCGTTTTTTTTTAAATATCTTTATCCTTGAAAATTTTCCTCCTTTTCCTCCCCTTAAAAATAGGTAATAATAAAAATGGGATGTTAAACGCGGAGATTTCATCTAATCGGTTCGGACAGGTACATACGCGTATGAAATGTATCGTGATCGCGACAAGGGTCATCGTGCATAGTCGTTATCGGTGAGAATGTGTGTTGCGCGAGTTCACGTACACATATTACACACGTACGTATGCACGAATACATGTACATGCATATACATACACATATACGACGCACACACAACTTATCGGCTTGGCAGCGTGTAATTGAAAATACGCTTCGATGCGCATACCAATTAATATAGCTTGGTCTCTGTTGAGAGACGGACAGAGAGAGAGAGAGAGAGAGAGAGAGAGAGAGAGAGAGAGAGAGAGGGAGAGGGAGAGAGAGAGAGAGAGAGAACACGATTCTACTATGTGTACATATACATGTGTATTTATATGTTTGGATAATACATGCATACATATTTTACTTTATTAACTGGTCGTGCAACGTTATCTCGTTCAATATCTGATAAGCTACGGCCTTGTCTTTGCTGCGTTCATGGGATAGAGAGAGATAAGTAGATAGATAGATAGAGAGAGGGAGAGGGAGAGAGCAGGATTCTAAGAGAAATAACAAAAACCAGAAAACAGCTCTCAACTTTTTCTTTGTGATTAGTTAACGAGTTTCAATGCAAACAACTTTCCCTGTTTTTCCTTTTCTCTCCCTCTCTCTCTCTCTCTCTTTTATGCTTTAATCATGATGATCACTATCCTATTATTTCGTAGAGAAATATTGACAAATTTTAATGAAAATATCATTTCGCATAGATGTTTCAGAAATACACAACTACATGATATATATATATATAAAGGATATATTGCAGGGAATCGTAAAATATATCGAAATAAAGAAACGTGCTCGGTAAAACCGTATAGGATTATATGGATAAATATCTCATGGAAGCATTTTCCCCTTTTTTTGATTCCAGGCGTAGAGAGAGAGGGTGCATCGTCAAAGCGCTGGAGGGTCTGAGGCAGTGAAACTGGCTGGCCTACAATGTCCGCTAGCATGCGGAGCACCCTGCAAACCGTTCCAGAGTCCGTGCCGGCCGACCACGTCACAAACTCCAAAGTAAGTAATTAGAAACGAAAAAAAAAAAAAAACAAAAAAAAAAAAGAAAAACAAAAGATTTAAGAGAATAATACATATATATATATTTTATTGAGGAAGTAAGAATAAATAAATGAAAAAGAAACTAACAACAGATTACACACACACACACACTTGCGCGCGCGCGCGCGTATATTTCACAAAATTTATCAAAGCTGAGATTTAAAGGGAATCTTCTCTTCCGGAGGGGAGGATCCTCTATCTCTTTCTAACGGTGACAGAATTTTCAAGGTCATACATTGCGACGATCAACCTAGATTAAAATGAAAGGAAGAAGGATTGATCTAATTAAGAGGGGAGATAGAAAGACAGAGAGAGAAAGAGAGTAATAGAGATTTAATAACTTTTTTATTCTTTCTCTTCCTCTCTCTCTCTCCCTCTCTTTCTTTCTTTCTTTCTCTTATTTTTTCCTTTTCTAGTATCATTTCAAGCCATACCATAAAGCAATACAACCAACGATCTACTGCTCGACCTTTGAACCTTCTTCTACCACTCGAAAGGAGGATTACAAATGTCAGAAGTGCAAGCAGTTCTGCAGTAACAACAGCGAGACACAGTAACGGCAGTTAATAGCAGTAGTGAAAATACGTTCGCACTGCCTTGACTTCTGCAATTACTTTGCTATGTATATAGAAAACGTACAAATGTATATAATATATATATATATATATATATATATATATATATATATATATATATATTATTGCACATATTG